AGAATAGAATAGAATAGAATAGAATAGAATAGAATAGAATAGAATAGGATTCTTTGTTGGCCAAGTGTGATTGGACACACAAGGAATTTGTTTTCGGTGCATAAGCTCTCAGTGTACATAAAAAATATATTCATCAAGAATCCTAAGACACAACACTGAATCATAGTCATAGGATACTAAATAAGCAATCAAATCATACTAGGAAACTAAATAAAACAATATAAATCATGAAGATACAAGCAACAAGGTTATAGTCATAAGTGGGAGGAGGTAGGTAATAGGAAGGAAGAGAAGAATGGTAATATAGTCTTAAGTAATACACGCTAAGCCCTAATGCAGTTAGCTGGGTTTTATGCTTAGCCTGATTCTTTATAATTACTTAATAATATTTAACAAATTTAAATAAATGCATGTAGAGGAAGCCCTTGACTTACAACGGTGTGTTTAGTGACAGTTCGAAGTTACAACGGCACTGACTTATGGCCATTTTTCACACTTGCAGCATCCTCATGGCCACATGATTGAAATTCGGATACTTGGCAACTGACTCATATTTATGACGGTCTCAGTGTCCCCAAGGGTCACGCGATCCCCTTTTGTGACCTTCTGACAAGCAAAGTCAACGGGGGAAGCCCGATTCGCTTAACGACCGTGTTACTAGCTTAACCACTGCAGGGACTGACTTAACAAACGTGGCAAGAAAGGCTGTAAAATGGCGGCAAAACTTCACTTGCGTGGCAAGACAAGTTGTCCAATGGGGCCAAAGCTCACTTTGACAAATGTCTCCCTTAGCAACATAAATTTAGGGCTCAATGGCAGTTACAAGGCGAGGACTATCTATCAAGTAAAATTAAGTAAACAAAAGCGATAAGCAAGTGATTTCTCCCAGGAAAGACAAAAAAACCAGCAATTTAAATCTGATGTTTAAAAAAAAAAAGGGTGCGTATGTGTGAAGCACCCCTTGTTGTTATGACGAGGATGGATGGCGATTTGTAAATTGGGGGGGGGCTTTCCCCCCCCCCCCCCTTCGTTCCTGCTGCATTGAGTGGCCCCCTGAATCCCTGGAGGCTCCAGACAGTCTTCCTGAGAGGGGCATATGGTCCATTAGAGGTAACAAAAGCCTTCGCCGGCAACAGATGGGCGAAAGCTATCCATGCCTCTTGGGGTACCTGGAGGTGGCACAGATGAGATCAAAGTAAGACAGCTGGCTTGGGGGGGAGGGGGGGGTCTGCTTTTCCCAAAGAAAGCCAGGTGGGGATCAAGGCCCACCCAAGCAGAAAATGGGCCCCTCCTGGTTTCGCCTGATTCTGCCAGATAAAATACCCTGATCCATCCGTCGGAGGGGGACTATATAGGGATTTCTGTCCAGCCAGCAACATTTCTGTAAGCAGGGTCTCTAGGGAGGATAGAAGGAGGCCTGGCGGGAAGGCTCTACCTGTCAGGTAGAGTAGGAGACAACCTCAGTTCCTCCAGGTGCTACCTGCCTTGCCCCCACCCCCACCCACCCCCCAAAAAATAGCCCAAGCGATGGTTTTGGTAGCAGCAGCTGAGAAAGTGTTTGAGACAGAAATCAGCAGTTTTAGAGCGACGGCTCTCAACGTCAGCAGTGTTTAAAGATATGTGGACTTCCGCCTCCCAGAATTCCCCAGCCAGTGTGCTTTTAAAAGGTGGCTTTCCATGCCCGGAATTCCCTGGGCAGAATGCTTTTAAAATGGGTGAACTTCAGCTGCCACTATCCTGCAGCCAGCATGCTTTAAGGTGGCTTGGAAACTGCCAGAATTCCCTAGCCAGCATGCTTTATGGTGGCTGGACTTCCGGCTGGGGAATTCTGGGAGTTGAAGTCCACCCACCTTAAAGTAGCCAAGGTCGAGAAACACTTGTTGCAAGCCAAACTTCCTCACGTGTCTAGGTGTGGTGGTATCCCAACAGCACAAAATAATTTTTTAAAAAAATGGTTAGTTTTTCTTGCCATTGCTCCTTATCCCATCTCTCTCCCTCACCGGTTTTCCTGAATTATGTGCCATTTTGTTCCAAATAGAAAAAGAGCTTCATTACTCTCTCTCTCTCTCTCTCTCTCTCTCTCTCTCTCTCTCTCTCTCTCTCTCTTTCTCTCTCTTTCTCTCTCTCTCTCTCTCTCTCTCTTTCTCTCTCTCTCTTTCTCTTTCTCCCTCTTTCTCTCTCTCTTTCTCTTTCTCTCTCTTCCTCCAGGCGAAGTCTTTGACTACTTAGTGGCTCATGGAAGAATGAAAGAGAAGGAAGCGCGTGCAAAATTCCGACAGGTGAGCGCTACGCCACTTTTTATGAACCTGCGAAAAAGCCGGTAAGGGGATCTCTGCCACCATTAACTGCCTGGCAAAAAAAGGAAAAATGGCATTTGAAAACGGAAGCTGCTATTCCATGATAGCTATAACTTCATTCTGGAAAATTTCTCCTCCTTTGCTGGCCGCCTCCCCAGTGGTGTGTTGTTGAAGAGTATATGAAAGAGACACACACACACACACACCCCAAAAATATTCCCCTTTTCAACCAGACCAAAACACCGTTTTTTTAGTCCAATTGGCCAATTGGGCTTGTGGTTTTACCTCCCTTTGGTTTGCAAAGGTGTTTTGGAAAGTCCTTCCATTCATCCAGATGTTGACAACACAAACTTTTTAAAAAGCTTTTTAAAAAGCTTTTTTAACGCCCCTTAGTTGCCCTCCCAAACTGGAAAGCAAAATTCTCACAGAACCTGCGAAGCAGCAGGCTCCTTGCAACAATGAAAGCGTTAGGATGCAAGCTCTTGACCCTCATTTCCCAGAGGTCACGTCAAGGCCAGGCCTCCCCGCTGCCTTTGGTTTTCTTTCTTACGCAATCCTGGTTTAAAGGAGAGGATGTTGGTTTCTCATTCAGCCAGCTTTTGGAAACACCTGTTCCCCAGGCCAGAGAATCCCCTCCCTCTTGGGCCCTCCATGCCTCGTTCTCCTTTCCTGATAAAGCCGCCTTAACTAACGGACGTCGCTGTGTCGCGGGTGAAAATGTGAAAATCGCTTCCGGAACATCGCAAAACAAGATGGAGCTGGAAAATTAAACTGGGAAAGGGATTTGGGAACTGAAGAGCAGTGGGCGGGAGGGAAGAGAGGAAGGGGGAGCCTCACTGGGTCATTGCTGCAAGAACTTTGGCACCCACCCCCCAGGAAAAGTCAACCCACCCACTTCACAGACCTGCTTTTCTGGATAGCACTTAGCAATAGCCCTTAGACTTATATACTGCTTCACAGTGTTTCACAGCCCTCTCTAAGCGGTTTACAGAGTCAGCCTCTTGCCCTCAACAATCTGGGTCCTCCTCATTTTACCCACCTCGGAAGGATGGAAGGTTGAATCAATTTAAGCTGGTCAGGATTGAACTTCCTGGCTGTGGGTAGAGTTAGCCTGCAATATTGTATTCTAATCCCAGGGAGGGAGGGAAGGGAAGGAAGGAAGGAAGGAAGGAAGGAAGGAAGGAAGGAAGGAAGAAAGATAGCAATAGCGCTTAGACTTCACAGTGCGTAGCCTCTCTCCAAGCGGTTTACAGAGTCAGCCTCTTGCCCCTCAACAATCCAGGTCCTCATTTTACCCACCTCGGAAGGACGTAAGTCTGAGGCAACCTTGAGCCTGGTGAGATTCGAACTGCCAAATTGCAGGCAGCCGGCAGTCCGCCGAAGCAGCCTGCAGTACCGCACTCTTAACCACGGCGTCACCGAGGCTCATTGGTGCTTGGATGCTGCGATGAGGCCTAATTTATGCAGCTCATTTTTGCTTTCTTGGAAAAGACACCCCACTCCCCTCCCTGTGCACCCACTTCTTCGCTCCCCCTTCCAACTCCGAGCGACGGGGTGGTGGTGGGGGCAACGCCAAAGAGGGTCTGAAAAATATTGGGGTTGATGCGATACCCGAGTGAGGCTGGTTTACCCCGATGCAGAAATTGCCATATATATTTTTTTTCACCCTTCTTCTTCTTCTTCTTCTTCTTCCCTTCCAGATAGTTTCTGCTGTGCAGTACTGTCACCAAAAATTCATTGTACATAGAGACTTGAAGGTAAGTGTGGGGGAAAAAAGGAGGGAAGGCCTCAGTTTACCCTTTGCCAAAGCGGAGCTCCGGCCGGGCCGTGCTCTGCTTTTAGTAGGGGGAGCCCTCAAACAAAATTTGGAACAAGGATCTAGTTCTCAAGACCAGAGTAGACCTTGCAAGGGCTCTCCGGTGGAGATGGAAGAGCCCCTCCGGCGCTCACCCACCCACCCCCCAGCGTTGTCGTCTCCTCCCCCCTGCAGGAGGGGCCTGGGGCTTTTATCGCCAAGGAGGAGGCGTGTCCCTGTAGCCAGCGAGTCTTAGCTTGTCTTCAAGGGAAAAAGGCCCTTTAGAAACCTGGAAAGAGTGCAGAGGCGAGCAAGAAAGACGGCGAAGGGCCTGGAAGCCAAAACCTTATAAAAAGAGAAGGGTTGCACGAAGCAGCCAATATCTAGGGTAACCAAAGAGAAGGCTGGAGGGGCGGCTTCGTGATAGCTGCCTCCCAAGACGTGAGGGGCTTCACGGAGAAAGCAGGTAAGGGGGTCAAGCGTCCCCTGAAGGCAGGACGCAGAAGCAACGGATGGAAACTGAGCAAGGAGAGAAGCAACCTGGAATGAAGGAGAAATTTCCTAACAATTGAGAACCATTAACCAGTGGAACTGCTTGCCAGTAGAAATGGTGGTTGCTCCCATCCCTGGAGGTGTTTGAGAAGAGGCTGGACAGCCGTTTTGTCCAGCATGGTACGGCGTCTCCTGTTTGAGCAGGGGGGGTTGGACTAGAAGACCTTTTCCAACTCTCGATAATCTCGCTCTTCGGATTGGCGTTGGCGGCTTGGCCTGACTTTCTAAGCCTCTGGCCCCACCGGATCCTTCCCATCAACCGTTCTGGGGTAACGTGGCTGACGGCCCTTGGGTGGAAAGTTTTAGGGCACGTTTTTCTTGCCCAGCCAGATGCTCTCGAGGTGCCTTTTCATCCACGGCCAGCCAGCATCTGGAGGCAGAGCCCAGGACAGCTGGAGCTGGTGGCTTCTGCCCTCAATCCTCACTTCTTCCCACCCCCCCAAGGGTATATCAAATTCCGTGCCCCCTTCTGCTTATTGTGAACATTAATATTGAATATCAAGACACACACACACACACAGACACACAAAACACAGGCACACACACACCCCTCCTCCTCGTTTCCTCCGAGCCTGAAGCCGTTTGAGCAAAGTAGATCTCGGGCTTTCAAAGCCAGAATCCAACAACTCACCCACGGCCGGCTTGACGCGGCCAAACCCACCGCGGCCAGATAACGAGGATAAGTAACCATATCACAGCCACGCTCCACGGATTAACAGGCATTAGGCAGCCCTAAGAGAATTCAGAGGTTTAGCAAAGCGAGGGCACGAGAGCTTGCCGGGAGGAAAGCAAAGGGGAAAAAAATGGTGACAAAACAAAGCAGAGCTAAGGAAACAATTCTGTGGTACAGAAACGGGAGGCAGGAACAGCCACTCCGTCTAACCAGATACAGATGAACAAGAGTTGGAAGGGGCCTTGTAGGTCATCTAGTCCAACCCCCTGCTGC